ATTTATGGTCAGGTGTATGTGGATGGTCATCCTACTCAGAAATAATTATTTCTAACGCGGTTAAAATGATTATATTTGGGTACGATGACCAACCATAGACGTAGGCTGCGACGCTTACTGTTGACTTTTACCGACCGGTAACATCCCGGTTTAATTGGCCTCCTCTTCGTATCCGCCTTCTTCGTGCAAAAACTTGTAACCTTTCATAAAATATATTATGGTTAGATCAAAATTGGTATTCCCTCTTGTTTATTGAAACAAATTCGTAGCACTTGATCATCCGAGCTACAGGATTGCTTTTGACATGTACCATCTTCGATGTATCCCTTTAAGTTTAGCTTCTTTAATACTGTTATTCCATATTGGAATTCCCTTTCCTTCTCTGGTTAATTGTAAAGTTTCTGAAGTCCCCAGTATTGAGCTGTCTATTTGATCAGCTTTGCCTCTCCCCGTCTTCGATATAATCCCTTTCGACTTTGAAGACTAATCATTATGAGGTTATAGTTACCATGTCTGCATTCACTGCACTCGCCATGGGTATACTATACTCTAGGTTAGTCTACGAACGTACTATAATCAAGAGTAGCGCAACTACGACATGTCTGATCGTTAAGTGTCTGCATATTATATATATATATATATATGCGTTCACAATAGACCATTTGCCGGCTCACACACCGTACGTATATCTGTTGCCTGTGCACAGTGGTAAATGTTTCACTTGGAAAGCATACATGCAGGCACTCGTATCTCACGATACGGCCTATATGCTGTATGATCGACACGCTGTGTATTTAGGAAAGTGCTGAGACGGGTAGTTTCGCGTGATTCACGCGCGAAGGGAATATCAAGGAAGTAGAAATTACTTCAAATTAGTGGCATAAAGAGAAGCTGGGTTCGGTTGCAGAACACGGCCGAGCGTGAGCGACCTAGTACATTAATAGGACACATGAACATATTTCAATAAACGACTGTAATGCCGTTTATATTACACTTCAACTCCATATCCTATTAACCATAACTTATTCTATGACAATTCTTTCATGACAAAAATTCATCAACTGCGCTTGTGCATACATATCAAGAGTACATAATAGAGATCTCCATCGATGCTTCAGTGAAACATTCCATAAACAATCTCCGCACGCAACCGTGACTGATAATTGAGTGGTTCCCCCACCAGGGCCGTGTGCATTGTCTGGCAAGGTATGGACACAGTGGTGTTATCATGGACAAGATAATAACCCATTATTACCTAATGCTGATTTTATATATATATATTGTGCGTGCGTGCGTGCGTGCGTGCGTGCGTGCGTGTGCGTGCGTGCGTGCGCGCGCGCGCGTGTGTCTCTGTATTTATAGCGCTGTATCATATACGGCGTGTATTATTTGACGGCAATATATAAATAAATGTGTATAGGCAAGCAGGCGCGTGGCGTTTACTCGTGCCAATTAATCAGCTAACAAGTTTGTGAGAGAGGGGAGAGAGGTTGAGTGCAAGTACAAGAAAAGGGGAGGTGGAGAGGCAGCGAGTGAAAGAAAGAATGCGGGAGGGAGGCGTCCCGATATAGTGTTATTGCCACCCCAGTTTTGCCAGTATATGCACGTACAAGGCACTTACTGGTGCTCCGGTGCGGTTATTGATGTTAGCTAGCACGCACGCTGGGTAGGTCTGTACGATAGCAGCCAGGTACGCAACGTACGAATAGAAGAGCTGCAGCAGTGACGTCATCCGCTGTTTCTCTATATAATTATTATGACAGAATCAGCGCATAATCGGTCGGCAGCCATACATAGGCCTACACGTCTGTCTATGTGGGGCTTGTCAGACCATATATATATATATATATATATATATATATATATATATATATATATATATATATATATAGATATATTATGTGTGAAGCAGTTGTTACTGTTCTATTAGCTAATCTGTCACTGCTGTGTAGATCTCCGTCGTCAACATCCACCGTTGATATACCCAGTCAATGGCATGGCTAATTCGCTTAATCCTTCCTAAGGGTACCTTGCATTCATCAGCATCGTTATCACCATCATCATCATCACCACCACCATGATCAATATTATCACACACTATCATCATTACCGTAACAATAACTCCTAACTCTACCCTTAGTTCTAATCCTAACCGTAACCCTAACCCTAACGCTATCCCTAACACAACCCCCAACCCCAACCTAACCATAACCATAACCCTAACCCTAACCCTAACCCTAACCCTAACCCTAACCCTAACCCTAACCCTAACCCCTAATCCTAACCTTAACCCTAACCCTAACCCTAACCCTAACGCTATTCCAAACACAAACCCAAACCCAAACCTAACCATAACCATAACTCTAACCCTATGCCTGACCCTAACTCTAACCCTAACCCTAAACCTATATCTCTAACCATAATTTTAATCCTAATCTCAATCCTAGCCCTAACGCTAGCCCTAACTCTAACCCTAACCCTAACCTTAACCACAGCACTAACACTAACCCTTACCAAAACCACGACGCCATTACCTAATCTTAGCCCCATCATGCATACATCTTGGTTAATATCGACGCTTCGCGGCTGCTCTGCGCATCATGCAGTTTCTGCTCCGTACCAGGAATTTGCGGAGGCGACATCGGCGACAAACAGCGACCTTCTTTCCGTGATTCGATTAAGTCTCCCCGCCACCGCCGCCGGCATACTGAGCCATTACAGCGCGCCTGCCCGTGCCCGATATATACTGTATACGGTATATAGCGTGCTCATCCTATACTACCTGCGCGTATTAATCAGCGTAATGAATCTTTCAGGTGATGGGTCTGACGTTCCTAGCTGCCGGTACGTCCATCCCCGACCTGATAACGAGCGTCATCGTCGCCAGGAAGGGTCTGGGAGACATGGCCGTATCCAGCTCAGTTGGAAGCAATATATTTGACGTCACCGTCGGGTAAGCGCATGCGTCAACCGCGCGACATCACCCCTTCGTGTGTGTGTACACTAGCGGGTGAGGCGAGACGTCGTGCCGTCTGCTTGGCGTGTTAGCATTTTTGGCGGCAACCGCTATAAATTTACTCTCATCTGTCCAATTAACTAGACATGTGAGTTCGCCATTATTTTTCTGGCATTTTAACGAATGTTTTGACGTCATAAACATAACGCCTCACTTGCACGGAGATACATGGGTTTACAAAAGGTTGTGGAAGGTTTCCAACGAGTATATGCGATACAGCTTATTGCAGGGATAGAGACAATATCTGATGTGCCGACATCGGACGTGCACAGAACGTTTTTTTAAAATAGTTTATTCAAATATTTTTAGAATAATTACACCAGGGGATATGGCGTATAAATAGTCGCGGTAAGCTAACACGCTTGATACGTGCGCGCCGCATTGCATGTATCGCTATCAAATGATAGCCAGGCTGTCATTAGGCTCGCATGAACGAACCCCTCGTGCTTTGATAGTTTCCAAAGGGAAGCACTAACAAGCTTGCTGTCATTGTCATCCCCCTTTGTTAAATCACGCTCACATTGACGTTGACATTTGACTTTGACCTCGAAATTTGGCATTGATCTTGATTTTGACGCAGACCTTGACTTGAATGGGGCTGTGTCTGATATGAGATGTACCGCCGAAGTCGCGAATGGAATCTAGGAATGAATAAAGCATGCTTCTCCGTTATTTCGAGAGAAAGGGCTGGTTGTGTTACTGTAATTCCATACATTATACATGCATGGAAGCCGCGCGGATAGAGATTCATTAGAAATAAAACATGGCAGCTCTCACAGCAATTATTTAATGAATAGGTTTTTATGAATGCTCGGCTAAAAATAAGATATGGATATATAAACAATTACTGACTTTTCATTAATAATTATCATTAAAAAGGGCTGAAATCTGGCCCCTTTTAAATTAATCGAAATATGGGACCTCTCGTTCCTTGTTATAGTTGGCGTTAAGTCATAATATCTGCAAAGAAGCAAGCCAACAGCATTTAGCTGTCGGCCAAACATGTCTAAACAGTTTTCCCGATATCCGAAAAAAGGCGTGCACTGTATCATCAAGTACGCAAAACAGTTATGCGCGCTATTATCTTGTTATCGTAGCGAAAATTGTTCTCGAGTCGGCGTACATTTCTGCCGGTAGGGGAGCCTAGCGAGCGTGGTAAGCGCCACGGGAATGCTTTACGGCGCATGCGAGGTGGCGAGACGGGCGCCGGCTCTGTCAGGACGAATGTGTGTTCCCGAGGATTAAGTCGTTCCAATTTCGCCGACGGGCTTGCCGCACCCGCTGCTCTGTTTGCTATGCGTTCATGAATACACGGCGTGACGGGCTGCGAATCAAGTCGGAAAACAAGTGATTACGCTCAGAGCCCGCGTGCGGCTTACGGACTTGACGGACATAGCCAATAGATTGAAGCTGGATCGTACTGGCTGTACGTGTTGCAATCCGTATCGGTGATTCGCAGACGGAGAAAATCTACTCGAGTGTGGGATTATTTAGCGCGCCTGTAATTAATAGATTCGCCTCGAGTGCAGAGAGACGAGCGCTCGGTATGATATGAAGCATGTCTCACGCGTGTCAACCATCACTGACAACCATTATGCTAATTACCCCCAACCGCCCGCAGTGATTGGCAGGTTGCTCCAGCTCTATCTACCACGCCCGACGCTGGGCGTAGCTAACAAAAGGCGCAAAGTCGACAAACGCGTGTAAACTGACTTGGTAACAATATCGAACGGGGGCGTGGCTATCTTTGCTCACACAACTATGCCGCACACGAACTCGACGCTAATTATACGACACTGCTAATTATTCAGGCGGATATATTGCTAACTAGAGCACTCGGAGAGCGCAGACCTTCGCCAAGGCAGCTGAATTCTCTCACTGTAAATTTTTTTATAAATTAATCAATTAATTAAATAATTAATTGGATCGGGATCACCACCAAAATGTAATCTATTCTAAGTTACCCCATTTCTGACCTATCCTGAAAATTTAATTAATTAATTAATCAATTGGATCCGGATCACCACCAAAATGTAATGAATTCTAAGTTACCCCATTTCTGACCTGTCTTGAAAATTTAATTAATTAATTAATTAGATCCGGATCACCACCAAAATCTAATCAATTCTAAGTTAGCCCATTTCTGACCTATCCTGAAAATTTTATGACATCCGTCCATAACTTTTTTAGTTAGGCTGTACACAAACCAACAAACACACGCCGGTGAAAACATAACCTCCTGCCAACCCCTATTGGCGGAGGTAATTATACTACCTACCAAAGCTCAGAAATACTCATATGATTTCATGAACTTCTCTTAGAGCTTGTTACGATCATCTGCTGCTACCGTCTCTATCTATGCATCTTTATTTTTGCATTTATTGCGTCTATTAACCATGCCAATTTTCGTGTTGAGAAGCCACAAAATATCTGCTGCCAATTTGCAAGGTCTCTAGCCTTCCGCCCGTATATACATATATATATAGATATATAAATATACATATATATATATATATATATATATATATATATATATATATAGTGTGTGTGTGTGTGTGT